CCTGTCAGAAGCTTATACCACTGACTGTGGGTTCAACCCAAGTGTTTTGTTTGTTTGTTGTGTAATGCCACACTGAGCAACATTCCAGCTACGGAGGGTGTCTTACAAGTTCTGAGCCTAACAATGACTGAATGATGCACAGAACACACTTAACAGCATGTGTTAAGAACACGACTTTCCATGCTTACAGAGTGCATATTGAAACAAATGCACAACCAGGCAGCATATTTCTGCAGGCATGAAAGTGACTAGGTATTCTATGTTGATGAAAATGGACAGAATTGGCTTCTGAGCTGTCTCCAACTGACAGTGCTTACTCTTGAGGCATTGTGTCAACTTAAGAGGATGATGTTCCTTCCTTTGCCACTGTGACGAGGTGGGCAATAGAGTTCAAGAGGGGAAGAGAAGAGCCTCAAAGATGATACAAGAACAGGAAGACCTTCAACTGCCACCACTCAGGAACATGTTAGAATACATGATATGATTAAGGACCATGCATAGCCATTAAAGTAGGTGTGGCTCATTAGATTGTGAGTATGAACTGGGCGTGACAAAGGTTTCAGCAAATTGAGTTCCAAGGCTTGTGGGTCCTGATCGGAAATGCTCCAGGTTCATCATCTTTTATGAGAATTTTCATTGTGTTGAAGTAGACCCAGCTGATTCTGTTGAGTGATGCGTAACCATGGATGGGTCTTTGGTTCACAACTATAATCAGACAGAGACAACACAACAGTCAGAGCAGTGAAAACATCTAACATCTCCACCGCCGAGAAGGCAAAGTCTGTTCCTTTTTGTTAATGTCTTAGGCAGTGCGAATATCAAGGCTGATCGTCATGGAAACCTCACAAGTGTGTTGTTCCACCAGGACGATGCACCTGTACTCAAGTCTGTTGTTACCATGGCTGCAGTGCATGGCTGTGGCTTTGAACACATCGAACATCCTCCGTATTCACCAGATGTGGTCTGATTCCCCCCTCTTTCCAAACTTGAAGAAAAAACTGTCTGGCAAGGATTTACGTCAGCATGAGCAAACCAGTGGTGTCCACTCCAGCATCGTTGGCAGAAGTGTGTGGACCTCAGAGGGGATTAATTTGAAAAATGATAAGCAACCAGCCTCAACACAGTCCACCACAGTCATGCTCAAATCTTTCAGCCACCCCTTGGATATAATGGCAGCCTGGAAAAATCAAGTCTTGAAAAGACAATCCTGTGATATTGTGAGCAGTGATCCATGCCATCGGGATGCGATGACATGCAATCAACCAAGCCACCAAGCTTGACCACCCAATCCATTTAGTTGCCTCTTAGATTGCTTGTGACCTGCTCTAACCCAGATTCCCCACAGGGCTTATCAGAGTGCCTGAGTATACATTAGTGATGGGCATTGCTTCTTCTCCTCCAACTGACATGCTGGAAAATAACTGCAATATTATTCAAAATGATATTAAAAGCCAACTCACTCATTCTGTATCAAAACAATATTATCTGTAACTATCGGAAAATATAGGAGGACGCTTATGATTGGCATTGAAATATCTTTGAGTATATGATCTGATGCTTGATACAGAGCAAACGAAAGGCAAACAAGTGCATACATTTGATTCATGGTGAAGATTAATGATTGATTCATTAATACAAAGTAAAGTTATATTTTATTGACACTAGCCCATCCAGAGCTCCTTTAATGGACTGGATGCACAAGCTCCCAGCAACCTGCCAAACTCCCATAAGCCCTGTGTGTCACTGTCAGGCAGGGCTACAGAGACATGATGCCATTCTACATGGTATGAATGCTGTGAAACACAAAGTTTTTAGAGGAGACGCATGACCTTCGTGTTATTAACTGACTTACAAGTTGTGTTAAGCAGTGCAGTTCTGATGCTGACTTGATAAACTGTGACTTCCTTGCCTCAGCTCTACACAGAGGTGGCTGTGCATGGCAAATATGTGAGAGCTATTCTTGACTGAGATCAGATAATTTGGACTTTGTGAGGTCTTGGTAGTATATCAAAATTCATAGTAAATGTGTAAATGTGGATGAATGGGTGCTCTCATCTTCTGTTGACAAGTGGAAACACTACGATGCAGCTGGTACATCTCAAAGATATCCTCCGTGTTTATGGAGCCAGTGCATCCTTTGACAAGAAGCTGTACTGTTGAATAATCATTGATCTTTTTGTGTTTGGAGGATTTTTATCTGATCTGTAATCCATATTTATTGCTGGTGTTTTTGGAATATATAATCTGATGACTTGAGGATTTGGTTGGATTTTCTCCTCATTTGTCATATAAAGTGTATTAGCAGTTTGGATGTTTTTTCATGTATGGTAAAACAACCTGTAGTCACAGAAAATAACAGACTTTTTGATAAATCTTCTCTTATATTCTGTGATGAAACCATGCTGATTCAGAATCTCAATGTTTTCAAGAAACAATTCTCAACAAGCTGTGGTGACCGCCTCCGTGGTCTTGTGGTAGAGCGTCCGCCCGGAGAGCGGAAGGTCCGGGGTTCGATCCCCGGCCGCATCATACAAAAAGACGTTAAAAGATTGTACTTGTTGTTACCCTGTCTGGCGCTCGGCATTAAGGGGCTAAAACAAGGACTGGTCGGCCCGGAGTCAGTATACTGTGTCTGAGTGGGGTATTCATGTTAAACTGCGGCATGGTATCTCAGTGAGCTAGCACTATAAATCGGCTTCAGTCCGAACTAGTACAAGCAGCCACACAAACACACACACGTACATGCACGTCGCTATATAAGTGCAATAATCTTGAACGCGACGTTAAACCCCATTTCACCACACCTCACCTCAACACGCTGTAGAATATGCTGGCTCTGAATGTCCCATGAAGAAATGTTATTATTTTAGGGGACTTGATTGTTCCCCATTTCCAGTTGTAAGCGCAAGGTGGGAAACTGTGACATTCTGTTGTGTATGTGGCATTTTAGAAGCAGTTTTGCCGTGAATGAAAACCAGAGTTGACTTATGGATTTGAACTGTTTTTATTATCAATGCAATGTTTTGGGATAGATGTTGGTACGTTTCTCAGGCAAGCACCAACCATTCGATAAGCAACATTTGACACAGTTATTTTTCTCCCTTAATAGGCCTCTAATCCTGCTGAGTCAGCCCTGGAGTTACCTAGCTATAGCTCACCTTACCTTAGGATTAAACAGCATTGATCCTCAGCAACCCATGGTGGTGGTAATGGCAACAAGATGTGGATGATTAGGCTCGCTGCCTTGGTTGATGGCATGTCATTGTGTCCCATTACTCATAATATCAATCACTAGATTGTCTGCTCCAGACTCAGTTATTTACAGACATATAGCTGGAATGTTGCTGAGTGAAATGTGACTGAACAAGGGATCAAGCTCTTGTTTGCCCTGGTCTACAATATCCTTTTGAACATTATTCCATCGGGATAAGCTGCAGCTCATCTGACCAAGTATGAGTGGTTTGTCTCTGCTTGAGATGATTAGGTGGAGTTTTTTTGTGTTGGAAATACCCTTTTGAACATTGGACCATCAGTATTAAGGGCTGTCTCTAGCTCACCTGACCAAAATATAAGTGGTTTGTTTCTGCTTAAACTGGTGATGATTAAGTCGAGTTTTATGTCAGAAATAGCCTTTTGAACATTGTACCATTTGACAGCTGTAGCTCACCTGGGGCACAGGTGGCCCAGTCGTGCTAGGTGTCGCAATTCCCTGCGGAGTTGCATCTCTTTGACCCACCAGAAACCTATGAATCTGGGTTTAAATCCTGGTTCGCCCTGTTCATGTTTCTAGATTTCATAACCATACCCGTGCTCGTGGGTTTCACCGAAGTGGTACACGTCTAAGACCTGCAGCACTTCGGGCTTTCCTCCCAGATTTAGCTGACATGCCGTGATCTAACTGGAATACTGTTAAAAGCAGTGTTAAACCCAACTCACTCACTGTAGCTCACCTGACTGGGTCTTGGTAAAGATTTGTACATTTGCTCACACTTAATCATTCCGTAGAACTGTTTGCCATCCTTGCATATATTCTCACATGTGTGTGAGGTTGATTGACTCTTGTGTCGTGGTTTTCCTGCACCAAACCTAATCTCAGTAATTCAGCAGCAAAGTTGATTAACACATAGTCCTTCATTCAGTCACAGACAGAAGATGATCTGTATTCTATGTAGAAAGAGTTTGCGACATTGTGATTGATCATATGATTGTATCATAGCCCGACTATAGATGCAGACAGATAGCCAGACATGTCGTTCATCATTTCAGAATTGCCAGAGTATTCTGTAGACGATCATCCTTGACCATGACAGCAATCGTGTTACTAAAAATACTCCGATCACTGATGCGTGCATGCATCATCCTCTTGTGTGTCAGTAGGTCCAGAATATTGAACCATAAACCGTCAGCGTAATTAGCTTAGGACTTTTATCTTTTCAGCTTTTGATTAGAAATTCTGCAAGTCAAGTGTTTCTGACATACCGTAATGCTCCTATGACTTAGTTGTGAAAGATTTTAATAAAACTGATGACTTGTGATTTGATTCAGTCATGTAGTTGTGGACCAGAGATTTCATTGTTTTAAGTCGGTGAAACTAATGCAGCGAGGGAGAACATCGCTGTGGATGTGACAGGCATGAGTAAAATGGAATGGTGCTGACATCTAGGACATCTTTGCCTCCAGTACTTCTCTGATCCACATCATCATGTTGACTCTTAAAAATGAAACAATATTTCTACTGACTTATCCACTCACTCACCCAAACTCACTCACCCAAACTCACTCACTCATCCAATCAATCACCCAAACTCACTCACCCAAACTCACTCACTCATCCACTCACTCACCCAAACTCACGCACGCACGCACGCACGCACGCACGCACGCACGCACGCACGCACGCACGCACGCACGCACGAGTACAGCTGGACTATTGCTGACTGTGAAACATTCAGTCTTGTGTTTACCTCTGATGTTGGCTTCACCTGCTGCCTCTGTTCCAGGCTGTGTGGCGACTGTACTCAGATGTCGTGAAGAAGTCCGGGAAGGCCACCATTGATGCGTCTACGCCAGAGGTCAGTCCCCCTAAAAATCTTTTTCAGAATAAGTTTTCTTTGTGCCTCTGATGGTTACTATCCACCGCCCAACATGGTTGGCGGGGGATATTGAAATGGGCTCCGTCTGTCCATCCGTCACTTTTCATTTCTGAAGTATAACTCAGAAACCATTCAATATTTTTTCATCAAACTTTGCAGATTGTCAAGTACATGCTGAACTGGTGCCTTTTGCTATTTAGAAATTTTAGAAATTTTTATTTTTTACGTTTCCATGGCAACAAGATGGACTTAGGTTCCAAACTCTTCTTTTTTTAAAAATTTTCATGACAAGTTCCACCTGGGTTAAAAAAGGTTCGGGTTTGTTTAGAATTAATTATGTCATAAATTCTGCAACAGGGGCAGGGGCCACGTTTGTGGCAAACTCTTGTTCCAATTGTTGTCTCAGTTGTACCAATTGTATCACCTTAACTTAAATATTAAGCATTGACAAACAAACATCATTTACTTTCTTAATTATTGCCCAACTTTTACAGATTTTGGAGCTGAAAGCATTATGGGATAGCTGTAGCTCACCTGATCGCATCGTGAGTGAAGCAAGTGGCCAGGCTCTGGTCAAACTAGTGGTCCTCAAGAAGGCCGAGTTTACCTACGTCATCAATAGTCTGCTGAACATTGTACCATCAGCCAGGTAGGCCATGCACCACCCACCACCGTCTGTGGAGAGTATTGTCAGGGGTAGTCAGGTAGCCTAGTCGTTGAAGCGTTCGCTCATCAAGCCGAAGACCCAGGTTCGATTCCCCACACGGGTTCAATGTGTGAAACCCAATTCTAGTGTCCCAGCCTTCATATTGCTGGAACATTGGTAAAAGCGGTGTAATACAAAACTCACTCACTCACTCTTTACCAAAGTGAGTTAGTGAGTGAGTTGGGTTTGTTTAGGAGATGGTATAATCAGATGTTGGATCAGATATATAAGTACTTCAATGCTATTTGTGTTGCTATGGTGTTAAAAATAAGAATTATGTCAGGACAATAATGGGTAATGATTTAAAGGTGTACCTAAACACCCTACTGTTATCAAAGAATCACCAAGGACAAATGGATGGATGTGTTATACGAACTTTCACTTTCTCATTATGTAGCTTATTCCCTTTTTACAGGGGAAGACCTGGTATTGACGTTTCTAGATAAGCATATACAATCATTGATGTCCTTTACTGCAATTGTTTTTGTCAGTGTTTTGATTATAAGATGTAAATGTCAGTGGATCTGAAAAATGAAAATGTCCAGACCATTCCTTTCTTGATGTATTTTTTTTGTGCCCAATATGCAGTATGAGAGAATTAAACGTTAAGATGTCAGGGTTCAATTGAGGCTGATTTCTTAAAAAAGACCTCAAATGTTAAAAAACACGAATGCAATTGTTTACTATGTTTAGAAATGTATTTTTTGCACTTTTTTCGGAATTTAGGAATAGCTTATCCATAATTGAATAAAAAGCTATACCGAACATTGAAAATAGCAAATTCCTTATTAGCATCACAAATATCATTGATTGGGTGATGATAAAATTTATCTTTATCTCGTCAGGCTACAGATCATGTGATAACAGCTTTACATTGAGAAAACGCATGATTGCCCATACCAACTTTACCATAATAATGGTGCTTGGTATATCAGCACAATATCTGTGAGTTTCAGGGGCATGGGTGGCTCCACTGTCGAAGGCACCACAGTTCGCTGTGCACACAAGAAACCTATGATCATGGGTTTGAATCCCAGTTGGCCCCAATTGTGTTTCTGGGTTTGTCAGTGGCATACCCGTGCTGGTGGGTTTCACCAAAATGGTAATCTGCATCACTTCAGACTTTCCTTCCACATTAAACTGTGATATTACTTGAATACTGTTCAAAGGAGCCAAAAACCAAACTCCACTCCACTCCACTCTGCTCCACTCCGCTCCGCCCCGCCCCGCCCCGCCCCACCTCCGCTCCACCCCGCCCAACCTCCACTCCACCCCGCTCCATCCCGCACCGCCCACCCACTCCCTCCCTCCCTCACTCACTCACTCACTCACTCACTCACTCACTCACTCACTCACTCACTCACTCATCCACCAACCCATGCACGCATGCACGCACACAAGACAAGAACTGGTCAGCTTGGAGTCAGTATATTGTGTCTGAGCGGGGTATTCATTCTCTGTGGCATGGTGTCTGAGTGCGCTTAGTCAGTTTCAAGTGGTAAATGTCTTCAAGCTGTTTCACTGTTTCACACATGTCATGTGACTGAAATGCTGGTCAAAGTGATCGAAGCTCATTTCCCTCACTAGTCCTAGTTACAAGACTGTTGAGGCTAATCAGCAGTCACGGCAAGATTGAATCAAGTCTTTAAAACAATACTTTGTCTGCAAGTTAATGCAATTGTTATAGATCAGTCTAGCAGTTAATGATTACCCAAATCACACAGAGACAATGATTATAATACACACCATTAATTACAACAATTAGACCTCGACTGAACAGCAGCTTTAGGTCTTAGAGTAGCCATCTTTAACTTACACTCGTTTCGTGTATATATTACTAAATGAGAAATGTTATGTGATCTACAACGTTACATGATATACATCGTTACATGATATATGCATTGTCACATGAACTGTTTAGTTCACACTTACGCAATACGTTGTAAATAATCGTCAAATTACTCATAAAAGTTTTGTGGTGTTCCAGAAATAAATTGGATTGACAAGTGACGCAAGATTGTATGGTTTCAGTGTTATTGGTCAGGTTTCACATCTCCTCCCAGCCCTTTCATGTGGAGAATAATGCAGAGTAGTTAAACCTGTATCATTGACTGAGTTGCTACTGTAAATACCACTGTAGGATCCTGCTAGGACCTCGCTGTGTTGATAGTGCTGTGCACATTAGGAAACACAAACAGTGGGGATCTGGTGTGGTATCTCTTCCAACACCTTCTATCTACAGAAGTTAGGTTGTGAAAAAGCAATGATGTCAACTAAAGGGAAGAAAATCTTAACAGACTGGGATAAAAAGAGTAATGTTTTGGTACAACTGCACGATTGTAGCGCTTGTTTGATTGCAAGGGGGTGAATATGTTGTGCTCACTGGTGCAAATTGCCGTGATTGGTATACATGTAAATGTGTGTTTTATTTGAGATAAAAGATACCTACGGAGGCTGTGAGAGGGAATAAGCTGTTTTCAGAAGTTTGTGGACATAGAATTCCAGACAGGCAGCAAATACCATCACACAATTTAAACATGATGACAATTAAACCCTTGCGCTTGTTTGGAAGCAACTACAATTTCGATATCTGTTTGAGGCAAGAAATAAATTATGTGATAGCCAACACAGAAAGTCTGATCTGCAGCCATGAGCGTGGCTGCAGCTGATGTGTCATCATACTCAAAGGGCATGAGGAATTTGATTGAAATGGTACTTTGAAAACGATTCTGATATTTTGCAATTTCTTGTGATAAGTTTTTCAACATCAGATTAGAGTTATCTCCCCTCCTCTCAATTGAAACAAGGTCTTCTTACGCGAATGGCGAATTTAGATGGCTGATGTACAATGTTGTGATTAAAAAGTTCAGAGGTAAAACATGCCATAAGTTGGAGTTCATTTCTTTTGATTGTTATTAAACATAGAGTGAGAGCCTCAGCGAGTGGGGTATTCCGGTTATATCACGGCGTGTCAGCTTGATGTGGAAAGACTGCCCCAAAAGTGATGCAGGTCGTCCAATATATAAGGTCATCAAGCTGCGAGCCCATATTCGAATCTCCAGAAATGACGTCATAATAGAACTATGTTTTATCATGAAATAAACCATGCTTTGTTCTTTATTGTTCTTCATTTATGGCGTAGCTGTCTTATATCAGTTCTGGTTTCTTCTTACAGAAGCCTTCAAGGAGTTGTTCCAGCTATTTCCCAACTGTTGACGTTACAAGCAGAGGCAGTCGTTGAGGCCGGACACAGCTACGAGTGCCCCTACTCAATCAGGTACTTTAGGACTGATAATATGTGCCCTTACTCAATCAGGTACTTTAGGACTGATAATATGTGCCCTTACTCAGTCAGGTACTTTAGGACTGATAATATGTGCCCTTACTCAATCAGGTACTTTAGGACTGATAATATGTGCCCTTACTCAATCAGGTACTTTAGGACTGATAATATGTGCCCTTACTCAGTCAGGTACTTTAGGACTGATAATATGTGCCCTTACTCAATCAGGTACTTTAGGACTGATAATATGTGCCCTTACTCAGTCAGGTACTTTTGGACTGATAATATGTGCTCTTACTCAATCAGGTACTTTTGGACTGATAATATGTGCCCTGACTCAATAAGGTACTTTTGGACTGATAATATGTGCCCTTACTCAATCAGGTACTTTTGGACTGATAATATGTGCTCTTATTCAATCAGGTACTTTTGGACTGATAATATGTGCTCTTATTCAATCAGGTACTGAATCAACATGCCGAACCCCATTCTCGAACAGGGCACCTAGTTATTTCCATGCAGTGCCCCTTCAATACTGAATCGATGCACACATCCTTATTTCAATGTGGTGCTCTTGTAAAGCATTTTATCCCTTGACAGAATTTCACTCAATTTGTATCAGGTGAGCTACATCACTACAACAAGTGAAGGCATGCAAACTTAATTGCACAATATTTTTTATCAGATTCACAGTTTTTGTCATTTCATGAAATAACTTGTTTAACAATTAGCCAGGCCTTACATTTTGCCACTTGTGACGTCAGACAGTGAGATGAGATCCCCTTGCAGACAGGGAGAGGGACATGAGGCCCCCCCTCATATAAGCCAGGTGATGCTTCAATGGAGTGACATTTACCGTGTCACATCTGTGGGATGAGTGACATGAAGCAAGCTCATACCTGATACTAGTACAACATGATCCGGGTATGAAAACATCAAGCCTGATCTATAGAGACATTTTAGGTGTTGATGATTGGAAAGGGAACATGTCTGTCATGTTAATGTGAGACTTACATACATGTTTACCAGAGATGTTATCTCTCTTTGACTTTATGTAGTCCTAGTCTGATGGAGAATGGTGGATTTATTTATTAACGTCTGACTAAGTAAACTCACTCACTCACACACTCACACACTCACTCACTCACTCACTCACTCACTCACTCACTCACTCACTCACTCACTCACTCACTCACCAAGGCATGTCACAAGCACGTTTACTGTCAGATCCATGCAAAGTAAAAAGGTTTTAGATTAAACCACCACCATGGTTTCTATCCCTCACAGGACCGCCTCCGTGGTCTGGAGGTAGAGCGTCCGCCCCGAGAGCGGAAGGTCCAGTGTTCGATCCCCGACCGCGTCATACCAAAAGACGTTAAAAGATGGTACTTGTTGTTACCCTGTCTGGTGCTCGGCATTAAGGGTCTAAAACAAGGACTGGTCGGCTCGGAGTCAGTATACTGTGTCTCAATCGGGTATTCATGTTAAACTGCGGCATGGTATCTCATTGAGCTAGCACTATAAATCGGCGTTGGACTAATACAAACAGCCACACACACACACGTGCATGCACGTCGCTATTTAAGTGCAATAATCTTGAACGCGACGTTAAACCCAATTTCACCTCACCTCACCTATCCCTCACAGCAGCTGTCTTGTTGTTTTCTGTTCTGTAGCCATGATCAAAGCCTTGCCCACACACTTCCACCCCACAGACAGCAAGTGTCATCCTCATCTGGGTCTCTCCTCCTCCCTACATCACCTCCCTGTGGGGTGCAGCTTCCATGTGTCTGTACCATAGTTCCATGTCCGCCGATATAGGCCCCCTCACAATAGGCGTGCAGCCACTGGGGATTGGCATTGTTCAGGTGTTAAGTCCATGCCGGATAATTCACATTTACCGCATCCCAGAAGAGATGTGAGGATTTCTTTCAATTTGCCCCCTGTTGTCGACCAAAAATTTTTTTGAAATGTCATGTAGCTTTTTAAGTATGTTTACCTTTCACGTTTGTAACTGATTACACATGTCAAAGGTCAAGGGAATTCTCAAGGTTGTACATGTAAAACATAACACCCGAGAATATTCAGCCTCGATAGCCTGCAGCCCAGATTCCATTGGACATAAAAGGCTAACGAGAGGTGAGTGAGTGAGTGAGTGAGTTGGGTTTAACGCCGCTTTTAACAGTATTCCAGTTATATCATGGCGTGTCAGCTTAATGTGGGAGGAAAGCCCGAAGTGATGCAGGTCTCAGACGTTTACCACTTCAGTGAAACCCACGAGCACGGGTATGGTGCTGACAAACCTAGAAACATAATTGGGGCGAACCGGGATTCGAACCCACAATCATAGGTTTCTGTCGTGCCCAAGGGACGCAACTCTGCACAGCGAATCGCGGCGCCTTAGACGACTGGGCCACCCGTGGCCCCCTAACGAGAGGTGAAATGGAATGGATCACTGATAATCAGTGATGACACCAGGTGTTCACCAAACTCCTATTTTCTTTGAGATGCCAGGGCTACCAAGGCATTGGGTCATGCACAAAAAGCATGGTTCTATGTGAGTCTAGTTCTGTATGAGTGTACATCTGTATATTGTTATCACTCACCCAAAATGCTACAACGGTTTGCTTCAGTGTTCTCATTTCGGTTTTTAGATGGTGCCTCAGTGCTTTGTTTCCTTCAGTACTAGTTATAGAGCTTAGAAAAGAACATCATTCTATAAAAAAATTGAATTCTCAAAAACAAGTTAAGAAACAATCGATTCATAGTCACTCATGTTAGTTCAACACGAGACAACATCAGATTCTTTTATAGTAGAAATCATTGGGCCGATATCTTGTCCGAATTCTATTGTACAGCTGTAATAAGACCTCCGATAACACAGCTCTGGTTCTGCAGTCCCCTGAAAAGCGCGGCATACAGACTGGAGCGTCTCTTTATAGGAGGGCCAGGATTATATAATGAAAACAAGGGATTGGGATTGATAAGGCAGGGAAGCAATTCCGTCAAGATAGTTTAAATGGATCTCCTTCTGCCTTTAATGAAGTCTCCCTTGGTCTTAAATGAAGCCTCCCTGTATCCTGGGGGATGGGGGTACCAATGGCTCTGGCCACCAGTCATCACAACTCCCCACTTAACCCTCATTGCTATTCACATTCAGCCTTTCATCATATTGCTGAGTTATCAAATTGAATATTGGTGAAAAACACATGGGAATGATTATTTATGATGCAGAAGGTTGTTTTTTAAGGACTGGAGGGCATGTGTTTGGCGTTTTGTAAAATATAAAAATGTTGGACTATTAGCAGTACATGTTAATTCAAGGTTGCAGCTGGTTCGATATTTGTCAAATTAAAATCATGGAAGTTGTCATAGATTGGACATTCGTATTATATCCTGAAGGGTTTTGATTATTTTTTAGTTTAGGATTGAAGAATTATTGTAGATATATGATAACGAGTGGTTGTTAGGTGTGTTTCCCATAAAACCACTGTGTCCTTAAAGTACTCTGAACAAGCTTGTGGGGAGGGGTTCGTTAATGGAGGTCATCAGACACTGTAGGCTTGATAATCAAGATGTAGTAAAAAATATTGGAAGGTGCAACATGACATTGACAATTGGGTTGTGCATTTAAAATCTTTTTGAAACATTTAATTTCAGAGTGAGGAATAACATTTTTCAGAGTAAATAATGATGGAATTTTCACATGTGTTAAAGGCACCATCAGACATCGAAATCTGAAGAGAAAATATGGAGAAATATTTAATATACAAAAGTATATTTGAAGGTAATGAGTAATCAAAATGGGCACTCACAGCATGGGTATTAGCTAAAAGTACCTTTATAAGGATAGATGCAGCCATATATCTGGAACATATTTTTGAATTTGGTGTTGAGCAACCAACGAGCATGCTCATTTTTTAAGTGTTAACCAAAAAGGATCAAACTTTTATAAAAATAGCTATTTGTGACGTAAATTATGGTCAGCATGTCATCTGGTTTGCTGAATTCCAAGTGGTTGATGATACTCTGTGTTTTAAAGTAAAAAGTCCCTAGTCAAAGTGTCAATTAGCTGGTTGAAAGTTTTGGAGCTGTCCGAAAAGGACACCAATCAGGCTGTTGCCATTGTTGCATGCAATGCAAACATTTGTAGAACACTTCAGACATGTGTGGCATATTGAATATGCCATTTTCACTCACTCCACAGTATTGGTGCCACTTAACTATAGGGCTGGATTAATCAATATGTATTGTAAAGCTTGTTTGAGTTTGAAATTATTTGAAATGAGAACTCTGCTAATCTAAGAAGTTGACAAAACCCCAAGGTGAGCTAGGTTATGGCCTAACTCTATTTCTGTAAGAATAACAAATTATTGCCAGAATGGACTAGATGAGAAAACGTGAGTAGGAAGTCAAGTAAAGTGTTTCCAATTCAGTTAATCAGTTACAGATCTGTTTGTGGAGAGGAGAGTGTCAATAGATGCTGCTGCAATATTTCAGCATGATGGCATTTGAGTGAGGTCAGGCAAACTAGTGATTGATAGTAGGAGCAACAATCCATGCAGCTGGGGTATTGAGAAGCCAGAATCGTAACAGATGTCCAAGATGACCGCACATCACAATGGAATCAACAGATCGAGTGATTTGGCCCGCTTGCACCATGTTATAGTTGACATATAAACTTTCTATAATTTTGCATAATGACCTAAATTAGCATCAGTTTTACTTGTTAAGAGTGAATTCCTGGCACAGAATCAACTGCAGCAACAATAGTGTGATATCGACAGTCTTCCTAAATGGTTGAATGCCAGTTTCTGCATTTCAAAATATGTGTGTCAGATTATGTAGAACAACAAATGTATTAAGACAGAATATTAATGGGGGGATCGGGTAGCCTAGTGGTTGAAGTGTTAGCTCGTCACACTGAAGACCTGGGTTTGATTCCCAACCTGGGTACAATGTATGAAGCCCATTTCTTGTGTCCCCCTCTGTTA